AAAAAAAAAAAAAAAAAAAGAGGAATAAAAATAAAATCCCGGGGCCTGCTGACTGCTGAGCTGGGTACCCGGCCGCGCTCAGGCTGCTCCTGGGAAGCCCTAATAGTTACGGGGCAGAGGGACATTTGTGCCATGCCCTGCACAGGACAGGTCCCCAAAACCCGCCGGGGCCTTCGCCGGGGTCTCCAGCAGCCCCCTTTCCAAGAGGGAAAGGAAAAAGGCGCCCAGCTCGTCGGCCCTGCTGTCCCCATGTGCAATACGTGACGCGAGTGGGGTGGGTGCCCTCTTCCTCCTTCCCCTCTCCGCTCGGCCGGCGGCTCTTTTGGTTTCGCTGAGGCAGCAGCCAAGGCCACAYGCCCGGGGCTGAGGTTCACCCCGTGCCACACACGGGACCGCGTGGGGAAGCACCAGGACCCTGGCAGGTCATCAAAGAGCCAGGGGGCACCTATGGGGAGAGGCAGCAGCAGAAACCCCAGGGGGCCCAAAAAGCAGCAACCAAGGGCGATTCACAGAGCGTGGCACCAGTGAGGAGAAGACCCATGYGAGGTACCACCTCCAGTCTCCGGAAGGGTGGCCTTCATGGGGACAGCGAGGCTCATGAGAGGGGAGGCCCTCCCTGCCTCCGCTCTGCCCGGGGACTTCCCGCACCGGCAGCTTCTCCTTTCTGTTTTGCTAATCCAGACCGCCAAAGGAGGAACCGGACAGCAAGCAGCTCATTTCTCAGGCGGACGCCTCGGTGCTCGGACGCRCCCGGGGCCGCAGCGCCGCTGCAGCCATGAGCCGAGCGCTCTGGGCGCTCCTGCTCTCCTGCACCGCAGCAGCTCAGGCGGGAGGGACGCAGCGGGGCCAGGAGTCCCCATCCCCTGCGGGCTTTCAGGGGTGCAAGAAGGCCCTGCAGCTCTCGAGTCTGGAGGTGCTGCCTGGAGGGGGCTGGGATAACCTCCGCAACTTGGACATGGGCAGGGTCTTCAACCTGGGCTACTCGCTGTGCAAGACCACAGAAGACGGGTCCTACATCATCCCGGATGAGATCTTCACCATTCCACGCAAGCAGAGCAACCTGGAGATCAACTCAGAGATCATAGAGTCCTGGAAGGATTACCAGAGCACCACCTCCGCCTCCATCAACATGGAGCTGTCCCTCTTCTCCTCCGTCAACGGCAAATTCTCCTACGACTTTCACCGGACCAAGACCCACCAAGTCAAGGACCACGCGGTCACCACCCGAGTGCAGGTCAGGAACCTGGTCTACACTGTCAAAATCGACCCGGGAGCAGCCCTGGACGAGAGCTTCAAGAAGCAGCTGCTGCTGATCGCCAGCCACCTGGAGAACAACCAGACGCGCATGGCCGACTTCCTGGCCGAGCTGCTGGTGCTCAACTACGGCACCCACGCCATCACCTCCGTGGACRCCGGCGCCACCCTGGTGCAGGAGGATCAGATCAAGGCCACCTTCGTGAAGGACAGCTGGGCCACGCGGAGCGCCGTCACCGCCGCGGCCGGYGTGGCCTTCCACAGCATCATCGAAGCGAAAACGCAGGGCTCYGAGGAGGTCAGCTCTGCTTTCACCAGGCAGTACCTGGAGAACCGCACCAGCTCCAGGGTGGAGAGCATCGGCGGCATGCCCTTCTACCCGGGCATCACCCTGCGGACGTGGCAGGAGGGCACCAGGAACCAGCTGGTGGCCATCGACCGCGCGGGGCTGCCCCTCTCCTTCTTCATCAGCCCCAGCAGCCTGCCGGAGCTGCCGGCGCCCACGGCGCGGCGCCTGGCGCGGCGCGTGGAGCAGGCCCTGGGCCGCTACTACGCCTTCAACACCTACCCGGGCTGCACGGACGCCGCCTCGCCCAACTTCAACTTCCATGCCAACGCCGACGACGGCTCGTGCGAGGGCGCCGGCGCCAACTTCACCTTGGGCGGCGTCTTCCAGGAGTGCGTCGCGCTGAGCGGCCCCGACGCCGCCGCGCTCTGCCGCGGCCTGGAGCAGAAGAACCCGCTCACGGGGGGCTTCTCGTGCCCGGGCGGCTACACGGCGGTGCGGCTGGCCACGCAGGAGCGCGAGGAGGGCTACAGCCACCTGGAGTGCCACGACAAGTGCGTGCTGCGGGTCTTCTGCCACCACGTGTGCCGCGACGCCTTCTGGCTGTCGCGCGTGCGCTTCAGCGCCTACTGGTGCGCGCCCGGCGGCGCCGCGGCGCCCGGCACYGGCTACCTCTTCGGCGGCCTCTTCAGCGCGCGCGGCGCCAACCCGGTGACGGGCGCGCAGTCGTGCCCGGCGGGCTACGCGGCGCTCAGGCTCTTCGACGAGCTGCGCGTGTGCGTGAGCGACGACTACGAGGCGGGCGGCCGCTACGCCGTGCCCTTCGGCGGCTTCTTCAGCTGCCAGGAGGGCAACCCGCTGGCCGGGCCCGCCGCGCGCGCCCGCGGCTGCCCCGCTGGCTTCAGCCAGCACCCGGCACTCATCAGCGACAGCTGCCGCGTGGCCTTCTGTGC